GGTGCGGGGGCTCCCCCGCCCCCCAGACCGCCAAGTGCGGCTTCAGCACCGGCCTCCGCGACCGCGGCTCACAACCCCTCAGCCCTGGGCTTTTGCAGAACGGGCAGCCCAAGGGACGGCGGCCAGTGAGCCCCAGGGGAGGGGGGCACGGGACGCCCACACGTCCGGAATAAACAAGCTAATTCAAAGCAAGAGCGTACAGGGGGTTAAGTGACATTTTTGTGTCGGTTAACAGCACATCTTGTACTCAAAAATAGTAACCGCGATCACAGGCACATTAGGCTGAGAGGAACAAACGTTGGGTAAACTTGCGAAATTTGCATCTCGATAAAACCAGTGAAACAAGGGCTTAATTACAGGTTAATAAAGTATCGGCACACGCACAGAATGAGGGACCGATTACAAATATGCAAGAGATTTAACTGATCACGGTAAGAGCGTTCTGTGCTAAGAAATTTGAATAACAATGGGCTTAACTTTGGATCAGCTTAAAAAAACGGCAACACACACACTCTCCAAAGCAACAGCACCCACAGCACGTTTAAAAACCACGCACACCAAAGGTACACAGCCCGGATATGCCATCTCTCTTATTCAAAAACACTCAAATTACCTCCAAAATCTGGCCTCAAGCGAATGTCGTAGCCCTTCAGCAGTCTATCCACGGTCTCTTTTACCAGTGACATATTACTGGGGTCATTGACACTAAAGAAAAAAAAGAATAATACTATATTATTTCTTATTTGTCAAACCCAAGCTGTACATCCCTCTCAGCAGCAGCTTGCAGTGCAATTCAAAGTAAAGCTAAAGAGATACCTTCATCACTTACCTCTGTGCACACACCACGGCTATTATTAAAGGGAATGACCAAATCCCAAAGTAACCCTTCTTCCGGACTCTCAGCATCCCTTTAGCTTTTGATATGATTTAGGATTTCAGTGAAGAGAAGAAGAGATCCAACTTATTCTGGCCAGTGCAGTAATTCTAATGTGAAGCGCATGCGCACGGCGAACCACAACATCAAAAGGAGCAGTGGTTGCTGCTGGAGATGGAGCAAATTTCCTTGCCAAAAAAAAATAAAAAAAAAAATTAAAGGGGAAGAAGGAAATGCATTATATTTATTTTTTTTTAAAAAAAAAGAGTAATCCACGGGAGGATCGAGTATATTTGGTTGTCTTTTTTTTTTTTTTAATATAGAAAATAAATCACGGCAAGGAGACAAGTTTTAGGAGTTGCAGGGCACAGCTGATTCGCAACCCAGTTAAAGGGGGAGGGGGAGGCGGGGGCTGGACGGACTCGGATTAGACAGAGAGGGAATAGGTTAAAAGGGGGAATGCACAGCGTACGTATGGTGCCAGGGGCAGGTGAGGGAAGAGGGGGCAGCTTAACTTTTTGGTCCCCGGAAAGAACAGGCTGAAGCGAGGCGAGGGGCGGGCGCTGGTAATGGGGGCGGGCGGTGGGGGAGGAGGGGAGCTGGGCACCTACAGCGCTTCCCACGAAAAATAAAATAAAATGAAATCACACTGATGACGAATATTTTCCTGTAAATGAGGATTAGGCTGTGTCTTTCCTTACTGTGCTACCAGGCTCGGTTCCAGGGGCAGGAGCACTGGGGACGAAGGGGGTCGCTGGCTGCTGGCGGCGCCGGGTCCCCCGGGGCCCGAGCGGAGCCCCCTCAGCTTCGCTCCCCCCAGCCGGATCCGCCGGCACATTTTCTATATATCGACCGATGTTTAACCCAGGGATGCAAGTTCCTCAGGTAGAGCTAAGCCTGGCCACGGGGCTGGGGGACGGGGGTGCGGGGAAGAGGAGGAAACACCCCATCCTAAAAAGCAGCAAAGCTTTTAGTAACCATCTAGATCTGATGTATGTTCACAAACCCACTTACCTTCGTGGGTAAAACACCCGAGCTCTTCAAAAGCAATGTGTGATCCAGTTAATGCCTTGGAAGAAACCAGAGACGAGCGGAAAGCTGATTTGGAGAGGCTTTGAGTGACATTTAAATCCTGAGCAGAAAAAAAGAGACAGAAAGGAGAGAGAGAAGAGAGAAAAGAAGAGGAGGGAAGAAAAAAAAAACCAAAAAAAACACAAAAAAAACCCACCCGAAAACCAACAAACACCGGAGTTAAATTGTTCCTCGCAAATCTGCCTTGTGCTCGTAGGTCCTTTTACACCTCCACCTCATCCTCACGCACATACCCGCCCAGCCCCGCGGATCTGTGCTGCTCCACCGAGCGGATCTGGGCGTGCACGCGTCCTCGGCCGGCCGGGGCTGCGCGGGGAAGAGATTGGGAACACTTGGGGCGTCAATTAACAAAAGAAATATTTAACTTGCTGCAGCAGGGTGGAGGAGGGGGAAAGAAGGAAAAAAAAGGGAAAGGGGAAAAAAAAAAAAAAAGGTGGGGGATGGGGATACCGGTGAGGGTATTGCACAGAGTGCGAGGGGAGCTGGAGCTCACTCCCCGGCACAGCTCGGTCCCGCACGCTCCGGAGCTCCTAGCCCTGCCGCCCCCGGGCCGGGCCGCCGCCCTCAGCCCCCGCCTGAATTTCGTGGCAAGCGGAGGGAGCAGGGCGGGGGTTGCCCCGGTGTGCTCGGTCCAGAGCCCACACTCGGGCGCACGCTGCCCCGGGAGCAGGAGCAGCCAGGAGGGATGCAGGGACGGGGGGGTTGCTGTCCGGAAAAAAGGAAGAGGCGGCGGCTCCCCGGAAAGGGGGAAGGTCTGAAGCGGGGGCGGACAGGGAGGATGTGAGGTGAAGCCTCACCTGGGGGAGCGGCGGGGCGAGGAGCAGGGCGCTGCCCCCAGAGACAGCAAGGCTGCTGTAAAAAAATCCACATCAAAACCGTCAAACAGCCGGCGGCCCCGAAAAGCAGGCAGCCATTTAACAAGGGGCGGCTACTACCTCGTTCGGAGCGCTAAAGAGCGGGGAAGCCCCGCGCCGAGCCCCGCAGCATCCACCTGCCCCTGGAGCGGGCAGAGCCCCCCGCCCCCCCGCGGCGCCCCCGCCGGCCGGGAGCGGCTGCTGCCCGCCCGGCAAACTGGGTCGTGCCCGCGCTTCCAGCGGGATGGACACACCGTACCCCTCCTCCTCCCCCCTCCCGTTAATGCCTTTAAACACCACATTGTTCATTTGAGATCAAGTAAGTATCTGCTTGGGTTTTCTGCTTCCAAAAAAACCCAACAACACAAGTTTTGGGGGGGGCTGGAGGGAATTTCACCAACACCTATTTTCACCACCTTCTGCCACTTGTAAAGGCAGGAATTATACACAGAGGAGGAAAGACAGTTTTTCCAGATGGAACAGACACGATTTTGCGTGTGTGTGTGTGTGATAAATATGAAATGTAGCAATTTTTTGTGTATTCTAAAGAAAAAAATACAAACAAACCAGTAAGCTGAAGAACGTTTAAGCATTTCTAAAAATGACACCTCCACCCCTTCTTTTTCAGCTTTCTGTTCCATGGCTGATGTTACAAAGCCACTGTGCTTGTTCACCAGTGGAGGCTTCTGTTCTCACACAGCAAGTCTGCTTCACTGCCAAACCTCATGAAATATAGCGCTGAAAGGAAGATGGTGGATATTTTGTGCAGTGAATCATTTTGCTTTAGATGTATAATAAGCACGTTGTTTTTTTTCTTCTGCAATCGTATGATAAGAGTAGGAGGTCTTGAGGTAAAAACACTTTATCCCTGCCCTCTGGAGCTCACCTGCAACTGCTAACTTGGGACTACGTCTGACACTGCTGATTTCTGAGTCTCTCAGACTCAGTTACATTCACCCTGTCTGAACATGAACCAGATATCAGCAAGAACCTAAGGCTGGAAACTGGTAATATTCAGTGCTGGACAACCAGGAATTTTCTATTTATATATCACATAAAATCAAGGGCAGAAAATTACTGTATTTCAATGGGAATGTTAGAATAGTACACACAAATAATTCAGGCTATGCCCATAGAACTCTGTTTTTTGTTCTTTGATCTGGTGTATGCAACTAACATTCACTAACTAATAACACTCATCCTGGGCCCAGAGTATCGTCGTGCCACATGTAATGAAACCTGCTCTTAGTCTGGCTATTTCAGCAAAAAGGAGTGGAACATACCACAAACAAAGTCAGTACATACAGATATCATGGTGCATGATGCATGGGAATCTCACATATATTCTTGGTTTTCGGAAGTGTTGAGTCTGTTGAGCCATGCTTGGGATGATTCACATAAAACATTATATTTGCTAGCTGTAAATGCACCACTGTCTATATGGGTCTACACCAGTAGCACTTCCTTGCCACCATTCCAGGCTCTGACAGGGGTATCATCATCACATGTTGTTATAGAGCACACAGTCATACAATAATTTTTCCTTTGCAAATGGTTTCACACTTTCCTCTTTACTTTTGACAATACCACTTTTTCTCTTGCCACAGGGTTCTGGTCTATCTCTGTCATTTAAAATTTCTCAGCACCATCAAATTCGACCATTTATTTTAAGCAACTTGCCAGATAAATCATTCCCCTCTTTTTCTCACTTGTGCCTGTGTCTTTGATTGAAAAGGAGAGGAAATAACTGGTGTGAACACCAGTATTGGCAAGATGCAGAACTGTTCATGTAACAAGTTTAAAGATTGCTATCTAAGATTTTGGATGTCTTACAATGGGGAAAACAACCTGTTTCCCAGCTGGACATGATACTGCTAGGTCTAAAAATATCTCAGTTTGATTACAAGTACTACAATCTTGCAGAGAAACCAGCAAAGATGGTAATATTTTAAATACCAATTACAGATTATTTTAGCCTCAGCGTTCAAGTTTGAGGAGTGCAAAGGAACACTCTCAAATATTGAAATACTCTAAATGAATGGCCCAAAATCCTTGCTGACCAGTGTGTGACACTATGCATGATAGGGCTACAAGCAACACCTTAGTTTGTCTTGTTAACCCTTGACTGTAGCACTATATTCCTGTCATTAGAAGCAATACCCCAGGTCATGTACTGAGAACTACTCTACAGTGTTTTTTCAAATCTTTTGCTGTAAATGTTAGGCATGATTATGCAAAATAAGCTTTAAGATAGAGTAATATTTCAAGATAATTTCTTAAGTGATCCACTTGTTTAAGTCAGAGGCAGAAGAAATGCTGATTTACTCTAGCTCAAGAACAGTAGTCCTCTATCACAAGTACTGTGAGTAACAAGGGCAAAATCCCACTTGAAAAAAACAAATCTTTTCACTGCATCTCAACAGGCTGGAATGAATACACTTCTATGAAGGTGATGCTTCTCGAGTATTTGAGCATTTCAATAAGATATGGTAGTATCAGAAACACTCAGATGAAAGTTGTTTCCATGTATCAGATAACTATTCTGTTCCCTAATATAAAGAAGAATGTTAGTAATTTATTCTGATACATTATTTCCATTTCCAGCTCCTAAAAAGCTGTCAATTTTAAAGAAACCAAAACATACTCAACCCTTGTAGAAATTTTCTGTATATAACAAATATGCAATATACTTTATTCTGCTTTCACTTGTCATTTTAGGTTTTCAGATCTAATATGCCACAGCCCATAAACACCAAACAATTTCCCATTAGCAATCAGCCTGACAGCATAAAGATTACTGTTACATCACATACACAGAAAAAAATAATATTAATGCAGGTGAACCTTGATTCCACTTCTCACAGGCAATGAAATTAACATTGTGTAGTGAAAATTTTCTGGGATTTTCTATTTCATATTAGCTTCAACTACCATAATATCGAAAAGAGTTCAAAGTGGTAAAGATACCAACAAAAACAGTAGTGTATGACTGGACAATTATACTATTCTTGGCCCTTAAAAAAATTATCAGTATTGTATGGAAACTTAATCTGGTAAATTACTTAGGAAACAGGTGCCACTTGATATGGCATGAATTTCATTTAACTGCAGAAGAGCAAATGGGAGGGGCAAATAGTCTCTTCCTGGTTTACATCTTTATGTAGAACTTTGTTTGCTGGAGCTTCTATTCCTTCATTCTGTGGCTTACTGCATGGCATCCCACAGTGTTAGAGACGCTATAGATAAGAACTTTCTCCAGTTCAAGACCTAAACTGTACTTCACAAGTCAGTTGACTTTCTACATCTTGTAACAAAAAGCTTTTCTGCAGCTCAGAATCAACAGATTGTAGATGTATGTTGTGGAAAGGCTTCTACTGTGAAATTGAATTATAGATTAAAAAAACAGGACATCCACAGTGCTTTGATTGCAGACAATTGTTAGCAGCTCAGTGGGGACTGGAGTGAGATACAAGATGTCTGACACCTTGAATTATGATAGAATGAAATCTACAGTCCACTTATCAAATTATGAATGCATCACAAAAAAATTATTTCCAAGTGGTGGAATAAATGCATTTAACAGCCATATAAGCAGCATATTTTGAATTCTTCCATTTTTGCTACACTAGTACTTAGAAAATACCTACAGTGTACACATCCTTTGATAGGAAGGCAGGGCAAGGCACAAGGAGGGCTTGCGTAGGTTAAGGATAGTAAAATACTTAAGTCAGCACAAAACGTACACCAAGACTAGATTATGTCACTCAGTGCCTAAATCTTCTCCATCCTGTTTGTGTAAGATTCAGCCCTAAAAGCAGATTGCAGAAACCTGTTATTAAATTAATGGAGTGGCATTTGTCTGCATCAACTGATTGCAGGATTTGGTCTCCCTTTCTAAGCTCTCTTGGACAGAGAATTGGTTTCTTAAATTTTTTTATATTGGGCAATACATTCCAGAATAGTGCTATAAACAATATCTGAGGGTTCTAAAACTGATAGGTTGGAAACTTTTGATAAAAAATGACAATTGTTTTCTTTTCAAAGCCATTTAGCTTTAGACATCAATCTTGGGTCTGGAACAACTGTATGCAAGTTCTAAGACTAA